CGATAATGTTGGTAGTGCATTCAAATTAGAAATAAGGTGAATAAAATAGAAAAGGAAATATTTTTATTTCTGCAAAAAGTGTATCAAATGCATTATTTTTACATATCGCAATATAAATAAATAAAGAAATCACACATTTCTTCGACATAGACATTTTTATAGATAATAGAATATTAATTGAAAGTTGAAAAATTCTTTTGAGAACAACTTTTGCATTATTCAGAAAATATTATTTATATGTTTTACAGATTTGCTATAATGCCTCTTCTTCTTTCTTTCTCCTTTTCTCTCGCCCGCGAAATTGTTATATTATCATACATTCGCATCAGTTCTTCTCGCCCCTCTTGATAACTGTTAGGTAGGTTTGAATGTTGTCAATATTTACGTTCAAATAGAAAAACTGTACGTCTCTTTCTTCGACCATTTCCATCAGGCACTGTTCGACGAAATAATGTTCGCATCGTCTTTAGTTAAACGCGTTTTATCGTACAGATCAGACACAATGTCTTTGGAATTAAGGGCTAGAGAATTCTCCTGGATACAAGAATTTTATGCAAAAAAGGAATCCAACCACAATTTTCAAGTGGAATGTCAAATTTGCGAACGTGATATTAAATACGCGTCAGTTAATAAGTTTAAGAAACACATGTCTGTTAAGCATCAAGATCAACTTAAAATGGAATTCGATATGCAACATAAGCATGATGTGTGGAAATATTTTTGCTTAACAACAGGAGGAAAAGCAAGATGTATTGTATGTAAAATTGTGATATCTATATGGTCGACGCATTTCTTACACAGTCACTTATCAGTTCATGAGAACAAAGATCTAAAGCCCTATAAATCACAAAGTTGGGCTTGGAAATACATCAAAGCAGAAGAAATTAATAATTTTTTTGGAAAATGTAAGTTTTGTTACACAAAAATGAGGTTTCCGTTGATGCTCGAAAATTTAAGAGATCACCTCCGAGGACATAATTTAGAGAAAGCCATTAAACGAAACGTACAGATGTTGGAAGATAACTTCAAATATTCGTTTTGGATGAAAAGTTTTTATACAATAGCTGAAGAGGATTTTCGAGTAAAATGTAAGCATTGTTTAAACCAGTTTTTATATGTCTCCAATGAGACGATTGAGGAGCACATGAGCAAGCATAAAGATATTTCCGATTATGAAAACTATATGAAGACGACGGAAGAAAGAAAAATAGGCTGGAAAGGTATGAGGTTCATAGATGATAATGCAGGTGAAATAGAATGTATGGTATGTCATATAATTCTGGCAAATAAATTATGCATAAACGATCATGAAAAACTACATTCTAAGAAGCTGCTCCGTTATCATACTTATTGGGGATTTAAATACATGAGACAATTAGGAGATTTGGCTAAATGTTCGATTTGTGAAGAAAATGTAATACTTCTGTGGGATGCGAGCCATTTACGAAGTCACACGACAATACAACATGCAAAGGAAGCGGAAGAATTATGTCGAGCATTTAGACCGTCGCCGTCATGCACTGTACTTTAAAAAAAAAATAAACGTGAGTTTCAATTAATCTTTTTATTAATTATTATTGTTATCATATTATATTTATCATTACATTTTATTTTTTGAGTGGCGTTCTCAATACATAAAAACAACAAAAATCAAGTAATTAATATTTGTTTTGATTATATTGTTTCTGATATATTATAAATGTTTATATAGATTTATCTGTATAGAGTTCGACAATTGCAAATGATGATAGCGACATTTTTAAGGAGCATCTCGTGACCAGTAATAACGGCAAATTTGACTTTGACCGAAGTGATTTCAAATACATGAAGACATTGGCATATAATTTGACTTATTTGTCACATATCAGTTTTATGTTTATAAATATATAAAATTTGTAAAGTTAGATATATTTATAAATTTTTAATTTAAATATAGCATTTTAAATTTATAAAATTATAAATTATATTTCTTATTTTAAACTATATTTATAATTTTAAAACAAGATATGCTTCAAATTACGCTTTAAAATCAAAAACTGTGTTTATACATTTATAAAAAGTACATCGCCTTCATGATTTTAACATAACATAATATAACGATTTTTCTATAGTGACGAATCTTCGAGTGACGTACTTAGTACATACATAATAAAAATAACAAAAATCAGATCATTAGTAGTTGCTCGAAATGTATCGAATCGTAAGCTTAAAATACATACAATGCCTACGTCACTCGCTATTTGAAGAAAGAACTGTTTGATATTATATATTTAGCAATTGGACCTGAAAATATTACTTTTTTGTATAATATTTTCAT